ATAGTCTCCTAAATGTGAAAATGTGATTTCTGTAGGATTCACAAAACCTTGTGGACTAGACATTACTGAGATTGTGGATTAATTTCTAAGTTATACATTTGCAATACTGCATTTCATGTAAAAGTGTTTAGTGTGAAGTTGATCTGCAAGTAAGCTTGATGAGAGAATGACGTCTCAATAGTATGGATGTTTCGGAGATTGTCTTGAAATATGCGTATAATCCTCAAATACAGGAAAACATATGATGTCTATTTATGTATACGGCGTCAACATAAAAATCAGCTGTAGACTACAAATACATTTATCTGCGTGAGATATTACTTAGTATTGACAGAATCATTGTATTCATGGTATATGCTAATATGTAGAATTCTCTCTTGTAACTTCATGTTATGCTAAATCTTACATGTACTTTATTTTTTCAGGTATACGGAGGTTGTCGAATATGAAATCAGCGGAAACATCATTCGGTCAAACTAACGTTAATACCCTTCATCAGAATTTTATTTTGTAAATTAATCAAATGTTTAATATACTCTTGATTTGTAATTCCTCTGGACTTTTTCAATTCCTTGCTATACTATGTGCTTTTGTAATAAGTGAATTAGGAATAATAAACGCTAAGCTTAGTTAGTGGGATGGAGATTTACTGTAGTATTACGAGACTGTTACTTTAGTCATTAATAGGATTTGGTGTCTGTTTCCACACAATAGTATATCGTAAAAGCTAAGTAGGATTTAGCAAGTTGAATAATAATTCTGTACTGTTCAATGTGCTAAAGTCTCCTTATCTAGCCATTTGCAAGTCTGTATACTGTTAAACGCCAAGTATGTGGTACAAGTAAATGTAGTAACTTAGGCTTGATAGCTGCTTCACTAATCTGTTAATATGCAGTGACATCATCAAATAGACTGTTCACTTGACAATGAGCTAAGAAACCATTTTTATTTATTTCTAATATGCCGTTGAATCATAGGATGTTATCTAATATCCATCATTCCTATGATCAACAACTGCGGTATTTGCATATCTACTTTATGGATCCGAAACATTTCTTCTATAAACACAGTAGAAGTACTTTAGATGCAGCTGCAGTCTTGCATCACTATATTTTCTCCAGTATAGACAATGGGGCTAAATTCGTTGCACCCTCCTAGATAACACATCTGCTTTCGACCCAGTAACTAGAGATATTCTGTTAAATAAGCTTGCTGAAACTCAAACTGAGTGTTGTATTGTTAAATGTACTGTACTGCACTAAGATGAATAGCTCTCTATTATGAGTCAGAAAATGCTTTTAAACTAAATCCTTCGAAATGTCAGACTGTTATTTCCAGTTTCCGTTGTAAAAGAAAGTTACGTGAAGGTGTAAATTCCTATGACAGTTGCGAAATTGCTAATAGTGATATAGAAATCAAGTCTGACTTTAAGTATCTCGGACTAATTCATCACAGCGTATTAGCCCTAAATGCATGCCACATGTAGGCATAATGTTTAAGAGCTAGGTATGCAAATCAAGGTAAACGCTTGTACTGTACATTCATTAATTACAAAACTAACTCGTATGTAAGAACTACGGTTTGGTCAGTTATACAACGTTTAATACATTTAGACACAATTAACCTACGATGCTTACTTCTATGACGCATTACCTAAAACTACATTAATATAGTTTCCGCTGAAGGTTATCTCCTATAGTTACCACCTTAGTGGACAACTTAGCGTTGTCTTTGAATAACGAAAATTCCGAGAACCTTCTTGATAAAAAGATCGTCCCTTACTCGAAAAAATTAAATATACCCTAGTCTCCACAAAAACGTTCAGAGGTATTCATCCTATCACCGCAAACGACTCACTATTTGCAGCCATTTAAAAAGGAAAAATAAATTTACCGATGCCACCGTGCTTATGATTTCTAGATATCATAATGTACCATGAGGAAAACGCTATATCCATGCGGTTATAAGTCAGATGCGCGAAATTAGTCAGAAACACAACAACCACGATTCTCAGTGACATAACATCTTACTTCGCTACCTAATCGTATAGTCGTATTAACGGATGTTTCGCCGAAGAAAAGAAGACTACTGGTTCAAGGATAATTTATTTAGTTTTTTTTAAGATCGTGAACATCTGTGGTGATTGACAACTTCTATCTCTGTATTGTTTAAATACTTACTGTTGACTGTTGATATGTTTCTTATATGAATTGCATTCTAATTCCGCTAAATACAAATTACTGATTGCTGCCCTCTCTGGGTTTTGATTAGATTCCTATAATTCCGTCATCCCGGTATACTAATATTTCAAGTACAATAAATTACTACAAATTGGCGTCGCGATGGAGCTAGGTAACCTGGGAAAATTTCCTCTTAATGGTTCTCCGCGGGAGATTGCTGATTATTTGGAATGCTTTGATGCGTGGTGCATTTCCAAGAATGTTCGGGATGATAAAATACCTGCTCATTTCATCACCGCTATTGGTCTTGATGCATATAGCCTGGTGAAGAATCTGGCGTTTCCAGATAAACCCATTTCTATGCCATATGCTAAGCTCCGTGAACTTCTTATAGATCACTTCCATGTAACTACTTTTGAGACCAGAGAGAGGGCTCAGTTCAACAAACTGGTACGTTCTCCCAATCAGAAGATAAGAGACTTTATACTACAACTCCAAATTCAAGCCTCAAAGTGTAATTTTGGAGATCAGCTGCATACACAACTACGTGATCGTCTAATTGCTGGAATCAACATTCCTAAATTAGAGAAGGAGTTAATTCAGATTCCTTCTTGTACGTTTCAAACTGCTAAAGAGGTATGTATTACATATGAAGATGTCCATAATGAATACTCTGCTCCCACTACGTCAGTATCTGATGTCATGCTGTCCAAAGTCGAAAATACAAGTGTTCATGGAAAGAAATCCAAACTGCCGTCCACAGGTAATAGAATGCAGCCAGAGATCAAAAACATTAAACCGTGTTTATCCTGTGGAAAGTTACATCTACGAAGCACTTGCTGTTTTCGGAGTGCTAAGTGCTATAAATGTGGTAAAGTTGGACACATCAAGACTGTTTGCAGAAGTTCGAGTACTTATGTTGCTCAACATTCTTATAATTCTCCCAAGCTGTCTAGTAAAATGGAGTCTATGTGTCTTTCAACTTTTCAAAATACTCAAGCTAATCCAACGAAAACCTCCACTGCAAGTTCAGCAACGCAAGTATCAACTGTATTCAAAAATGAGGTAGCTAAGTTGCAATGTGAACTGTCGAAAGCACGAAAAGACCTGAATGAGATGAGAGAGCAACTGAATAAAATTGAGGAATTACTGCATATGCATAGACTACGTCTGGTGAATCCAGAGCATACAAGTTCTTGTGAAAGTCTTGCAAAACTATTCAAATCTCGAATTCTCAAAAAGCATCTGATGTCCACTACTTCTAATGTACATTATTACAAAGATAATAACTACAGACCTTCTGTTGGAATTATACTACAAAAAATGGGAAATCGAGTGGTGAAGATATTAGACATCAAAGATCACTCAGTTCATAACGGACACCTGGACAAAGTGACAATAAATGAAGTAGGTCGTTCCAATTATAATATTATTGATTCCGCTAATAATCCTGATTTTGTAGATAATTCAGAAATAAGTCCAGATAGTACTGATGAAAATAATATCACAGAATCAGTTAGCTCGAAGCTACTTGCAAGCAGACCGAGACATCGTTATAAATACGCGAGGAGATATTCGAGGTGTGGCGGATGTGGTGATTGACAATTTCTATCTCTGTATTGTTTAAATACTTACTGTTGACTGTTGATATGTTTCTTATATGAATTGCATTCTAATTCCGCTAAATACAAATTACTGATTGCTGCCCTCTCTGGGTTTTGATTAGATTCTTATAATTCCGTCATCCCGGTATATTAATATTCCAAGTACAATAAATTACTACAACATCTGTGTCTATAGTCACGGAAGAATCACAACTTCGAGGAAACCACCAGTCGTAGACTACAACCCGAAACGTTATTCTTCCTAATTAATGTCTTACCTTTAACTGGGATTGTTTGTACACTCACCAGATCACCGTATTTTATCCACTTTGAAAACCGTTTTGCAACCCATCGAATGGATGTTAACACTGGCTCTATTACGGGTAGTCCTAGTTCATTTATTGCGATCTAGTACATCAAGCAATAATAAGCATAAGTAACACTTACCCTTAAGGATTCCAGGTTCTTTTAGTTCCCCCAAAATATACACAAGCACAACAGATTCATACTTTTCATGCGGCTCGACCTTATTTGGCTTAGATTCTCTCACAATATATTTTTTTAAATGATAGCAGACACACTGATGGTATATTCACATTCTCAAAAAGCTTCAAAGCTTTTTCAACTTCAACCCAGGTTCTAAATTCTCTGGGTTTAATTTGTTCTTCGAAAACCTTGCTAATACCAACTCTGATGGTGCTCTCTTCAACAGATTCACTCGCAGATTGTTGTATGCTGCAAACATGAACGAAAAAGACACTCTTTTTCCAGATTTCTACATGTTATGCAAGTAACTGAGCCAACAATTGTAACGGCAACCAACTAATGGACTGGAAACAACTGCTTCTGACAGCCAAACATCTTCATGTGCACAATTTCAAAACCCTCTACACAGTACTAATTCATTAACAGCTGAAAACCAACTAAAACACTCAAAGCCGCATGAATGCAAGGTATGAAAACAATTACACCGAAATGAATGCACTGGCCTCCCAAATCGACAAAAATGGGGAAAATCGTGTCTAAAATGGGGACAAAATGGGGACATTGCATTGAGGAAAAATGGGGACAAAATGGGGAAATAGTAAGATTTTCCCCCTTTTCCCCATTCTCCCCATTTTGTCCCCATTATCCCCATTTTGTAAAGTCCAGTTGTCCCCACCATCACCCCATTTTCCCCATTCTGTCCCCACTATAACCCCATTTTTCCCATTCTGTCCCCACAATTACCCCATTCTGTCCCCACTGTTTCGCCAATCTGCACTCGGAATTCGCATAGTTCCCCCATTTAGTCGCCAAGATTACGCCATTCCGACCCCAAAAATCGCATTATTTCCTTATACTGTCCCCGGAATTTCTCTATTCCTTAATCGAATATTACCACCTTAATTTGTCTCCCTTTTCAACGAATATTCCACCGTTAACCTGGTAAATTTCCCCCCTATAACTCATTTACTACAGCTTTGTATTGATTACGTTAAACAACTCAAAAGTCAAATCAAGGTTTTTTACAGGACAAAATTATATTTGAATTGTTGGAGTTAAAGGAAAACAGTTTACAAGATTTCGGTAAATCAATTCTTTAGGATTAATGAACAGTTTCGGTTGCGATGAATACACACAATTGGAATGATAGCCTTGTTATTCAATATCTCATTGCACTTGTTCTAATTGTCCCCATCGTCAAGTAGATCCATTGAAGTGTCCTGAAAAGAGGAAAAATTAATCATTAAGATAGTAATCCACACTGGCACTTATACAGACAGCTGACACTGTAATAATGAAATACTAAACGTCTTCATTTAGGTTTTAAATTTTATTTCGTTAATGAGTATAATTGAAATTATTTGTCTATATAATAGAAATACTCACACTTAAAGACCTTAAGTTTCATTAATTTCTACAGTATGTACTTATTTAAATGGTAACTTACAGGAGAGATCCTCTGATCACTTTTCTTCTTGTCAACTGCAACCTTTAAAAAATAAAAAAACAATTTAGTTAATTTGTATTTATAACATGAAAGGGTTTGCAGTGTATATACACTGCAGTGCTAGTATAGTAGCATTAATTTAACCGAAAACGTTTACTTACTCTTCGCCGGCTATCCCTTTTGTCTACGCGATCACGTATATCATGGAAGTATGCCTTTACAGTATTTTTCAGAATTTTCTTAACGTCGTCATCAGAAACTGTAGCCGAAACGAACTTGCTGACAATGACGGCTAAAAGAAATAATTACATAAAACAAGCTTACACGTTATAACTGCATAAAAGGTGCATTTCGTGAGAGCCAATTTCTTTGGAGTTCCAAATGCTGTAAAACGACTTGACAGCTTAGGATCCATAACATAATTTATCATCGCTCTCAACGAAGACTCCGGATTGAAAGATAATTTTTCCACCATTTTCATCATCTGAAATTAAGTAAAGGTTTATTGTGAACTTACGAATGATTCTTTAAATTTGGGATTTTTAAGTGACGCCTCTAGTTGGGTGAATTCTTCTTCAGTAGTTACGGGGAATTGCAGTTGACTATTGTCAATGGTTGTTTTCCCACTTCCAACGGCGGCCACACACGTTGACTTATTCACTGACAACAATTGCGCCATCAATGTTTTCAGAGACTAAAGTTCTGCTTTCATGTCTCCTTTAAAAGAATGCATTTCTCCTTTAAGGGACTGCATTTCCTCTCTAATTGACTGCAACTCATTGGCTACTTTATTATCTGATTCACAGTTTTCCTTACTGCAAAGTAAATACTAATGAAAAGTGACATAAGTAGTCTGCTGAACTAGTTGCGCTATAGGTGAAGAAGTTGCCACTGGCATTTGTTGAGTGGAAGTGCTGAAGGAGTAATGATATTAAAGGAATGCGTTACCTGGCTATCGGTGACATAACAGTTGCCATGAAATTTGTTGTCGGGTATTTTGAAGGCAAACAAACTTTCTGTGCCTCCACTGCTTCAAGTTCCATTGAGTCGTAAGCGTAAGACGAGTTCTTCGTCTCAACTCTGCATTCTGTGATTAAGCAATAAGAAGAATCTACCTTGGACGTTTGCAATTGGTAAGAGGTAATGTTTCCTCCATATTATCTGAATTGGAGAGTACACTGTATATTCGTTTAGTAGCCTGCAATGTATTCTTGGCTTCTACGAAAGAGTCTAATTACAGTAATGTAAGTAACACGTAAATAGTTACCTAGTTCAGCTAACATTTCACAATCCGTTAGCACCCATTCCGGTCGAGGTCTTACGCAAGCCTCAACTTCATTATCTGTTATACTGCTGTGATACAAGCACAGGTCTTCGGATAGCATCCAACTGCTGGCAGCTATGAATAATTCTTTGGACCCAGCTTTCCGTAAAACAGCATAATTCTTCTTTTCTTTCTGTAAGATATGATATGATATAAACAAAATTTACTGTCTTATTAGTCCGCTTGGCAATTGAATGCAGGAATGCCGACGATTGACACAACTGTCTAAGCAGGTTATGGAAAAGTATGAGGCAAAGGCACCGCAACTACATACCTATCTGTACGCATTCCAAAACACTTACAAGTAATGTCTGACGGACGAATCTCTACCTTGTATGGGCTAACTTTAGAGCACTTCCATATCCCAATGTGGGATGACTTAAATGGTTCCTCGAAGAAGTCACCAAACTCTGCATAAGGTCTGAATATTAGTCCATCCCTATTTATCTCAGTTATCAGATCCGGTCTACCGTGAGCTATAACTAAGTTATCTGGTGAAGAGGAAGTGATAAGTGTATTCCTAGTATTAACTGTTTGCCTACGTGCATCCACCTCATACTCATTTAAAACTTCATTGCGTACTCCTCCTGATTTGCAGTCGTGGAACACCTTTTCAGCAAAACGGTTTGCCGCTTGCTTAGCGATTGCATTGTAGGAATGTATTGATCGCCTTATTGTCTGCATATAAGATTCAAATGGGAAGGCCGAAAAAGATTCCAACGGTCCCATTTGATTGACATCTTCGGTCAAGTGTTGCAGACAATGGATGTTATAAACTAAGTGCTTTCTACCATATATAATAATAATAATAATAATAATAATAGTATATTCTCATTTTGTACATGAGAGACGCCAGTTTACAGGCATCATCAATATGATAAATTACATATACGATTAGCAATCATAATTAATAATAATGTTTTAATAAAGTACACATTTTTTCCTACTTGTGTAGGACACACCAAATATACAGGCATGGATAAGCATAAATTAAATTTCATAAATTCGGTTTATGGTTAAGTTACATGGTTGCTGGCGTTTTTGTTTTAATAATAATTATAATAATGTATATTCTCATATAAACATATAAATTTACATGAAAATGCATGCCATTTTTTTAGGTCTGTGGGAACAATATGATAACCAGTCATTCAATGGAGCACATCATGAAATATAGGAATATTGACTTCGCATTAACAAAAAAACCCAAGTAAGTTTCGGATGGATTAAAAATACTTGGGAAAAAATAAAGCTTGAAGTTATTCCACAATATAACAAGTCATTCAATGGAGCACATCATGAAATATAGGAATGTTGTCTTCGCATTAACAAAAAAACCCAAGTAAGTTTTGGATGGATTAAAAATACTTGGGAAAAAATAAAGCTTGAAGTAATTCCTCAATATAACCTGGGTGTGTACAAATCCGAATCTCATTTTTGATTTGATTTATATCCAAATTGGGTAATAAGGAAGCTATTTTTACAGATACGATCAGTTATGTTATAAGCTACAATCGTGACGTTGTATTACAAATTGATACTTTTCCATTGGTATAAGAGTATATTCCACAAATGTAATCCAGGTTGCGTCGTGGAGAAAGTTAATTCGTTATTAACCAGGCAACTGAAAGATACGGGACCAATAATGTTTGCAGATCATTTGTCATTGTAAATGGTCAAATATCCACATTATTCATTCTCATTCAAAAAGTCAAATGGAAGCTGAAATGGTGAGAGAAAAAAGAAGACAAACAACAGCAACGCAAAAGAAAGCAACGGGAGTCCTTAAGGAGTGATTAATAAATATACACATATATATTCTCTTTAGTAACTGTGGTTATTTTGGTACACAAACTAACTAGTCCCGTTATGCTAACTTTTATATTATGTGTGAACTAATATTACTGTCCTGTGTAGAAATGTTAATCATCTAGTTCCAATAATATTAAAATTTATAATTGTAGTTTGCTGTAACTACACGTTTAAACAACTTAAAATATCTATGTAGGGTGAAAAAGAGGGTGTAAGAGTCAGACGTATAAGTGCATTGTCATCTTTGAGCAGTCTGGTGACTGAGGAGATGAACACTGGAAGTGTGTTTGCATCGCGCACATTAGCTGGTAGTCTATTCCAAATGACTGAAAACTTATTTAAGAAGAAGTTGTACCGCACGTAAGTCTGACAGTGCTCTATAGCAGCTAGGTTGTGATGATTTCTAAGATTGTAACTGACGACAGCGGTAGGTTTAGTTATTGGCTCGGAGGAATGCAAGAGAAGATTAGTTAGCTTATAGTAAAAGATTAGGTTTAGCTTAAGGCGTCTTTTCCAGAGGGGTTCTAATCTTAGTCTTACGCATCTCTCATGGTATTCCAGACTACTTTCTAAACCAAGAGTTCTTGAGGTAAACTGCCGTTGCACTCCCTCTAATTTAAGCTTGTCATTTTGTCTTAGTCCGCTAAGAATAAACGGGCAGTATTCTAAGATAGGTCGGACACATACTTTGTATAATAAAACCCTAGTTTCACAACAAAAGAAATTGCGTGTTATGCATCCTATCAGCCTACGCGTTTTACGTCTGGCATAATCAGTCTGTTCAGCGAACGTTAGGTTACTAGAGTATCTAATACCGAGATCTACGACTGAATTGAGCTTAGCTAGTTTTCGCCCATTTATTTCAAGGTTTAGATCAAGCTTACTGTTGCCGATACAAATCCAGCCGCATTTGTCAATGTTAAAATTTAGGCAGGATTCAGCACACCACGTTGCAAGGCTACTTAGTTCAAGATGTATTTTATCTACCATATCGCTTAATTCATGAGTGTAGCAGGAGTAGACGACTTTGAGGTCGTCAGCATATAGGAATGGTTTACCTGAGGTGAAGCACTTGCAAATGCTGTTAATGTAAACTGTGAATAAAAGTGGACCTAGGACACTACCTTGCACGACCCCACTTGAGATCTGCCTAGGGTGAGACAATACAGATCCAACTTTGGTTATTTGTACCCTGTTGCTTAGAAATGATTTTAACCAGTTCAGTAATGGGTTGCGAATTCCACAAGAGTACAGCTTCTCAAAGAGAATACTGTGAGATACCATGTCAAATGCCCTAGATATATCGAAGTATAGAACAACGACTAGCTTACGTGCTTCGCGATTACTAGTGATGCAGTTGAAAAAGTCGAAGTGGCAAGTAACGCAGGATCTATTTTTGAGAAATCCGTGTTGAGACCTTGTAACAAGATCCTCCCTAATTAGGTAGTCTGACAATTGATCCTTTACAACTTTCTCCATGATTCGTGAGATAACTGGGGTTATATTTATGGGTCTGTAATTGCGGACGTTTGCCCTATCACCAGATTTGTAATGTGGAATTATGAAGCTAGTTTTCCACTCACTAGGGTAAGTGCCAGTGTCCATAGATATTGAGAAGAATTTAAGAAGTAACAGGGGTATATCACACCCACTGTTTTTGAAAATTATCGAAGCGAGGCCATCCGGTCCCGTACTAGTGGAAGGTTTAAGGCTTTTAATTGCTTGTACTATTAGTTGATTAGTGAACACAATGCTTTCAAGGGAAGAGATAGTAAGGGGAGCGGTTTCACCAGGCATATGTGTTTCTAAACTAAAGTTTGCAAACCAATCACTGAAAGTTCACAGATAGTGGCAGGTTCATTGTAGATTACTTTGTCGTGAAGTAAGTATGGGATTTCCCTCGCTGACTGCATTCGTTTTTTAAGAAGTGCCGTTAAGTTATAAACTTTGGAGGTACTTTCAAGTGCCGTTAACTCTTCGTCGAGGTCCTTTTGAGAACGTAGGCGCTTGATAGATTCAAGAGACTCGTGGATTGAGAGCAATAGTGATATGTCCTTAGTGGAATAGTACTGTTTCTTCAGTTTCCTTAACTTATTACGGTGTGCCCTTGGAATATATTCAGTTCGGTGTCTACTTAATTTCACTATTTTATTTGGGGCAACTGTATCTAGACAAAGGGTAACATTCCTGTAAAACAGGGTTACTAAGGCCTCCAGGGAGTCAGTGGTAAAATAGTCATCCCATTGACAGAGTCGAATAAGTTCTTGGACTAATCCCCAGTCTGTATATTTGTAACTACGACATATTGTGCTTCCTGAGTCTTGTTTGTTTCCTGTATTTAGTGGTGAGAAAGGCAGAGAGCAGAGTACCATTCTATGGTCACTACTGGAAAATCTATTACCAACATAAGTGGATACTGGGATTGTGTCATGACAAAAAACAAGGTCCAAAATGTTGTCCCCACGAGTAGGTGTCTGGACGTGTTGTTGCCATCCATAACAGTCTATAGTGGCAAGTAATTCGTCGAAGCGTTGGGGGCCGGA